TGGGGTATGTTCATTACCCTTTCGCCTATAAATATATATATAAATAAAACTTACTCGCTTTTGCATGCATGATGTTTGAATACATGTATATACATTTACACATTCCAGATACGTATTAAGTAATTCATTGTGCATGTGCATTCCGTAAGTTTATTATATCATTATTATTTTATTTGCAAACATAATAACATTAACAAAATTAAACTATCACGCAGCGTCTGCCTTATTGTCGTGTTGTTGTGGGACAAATATCGAACACGACGCGAAACGCCGACTATGACGCGTTGATACTATCCTTTCCAATAAGTATACAACTAATGAAGCATTATGAAATTGCGCTATTCATCAAAATATGAACCAATGAAATGTAAAAACTTACCAAGTATTAATTTAACATTGAGTATTTTCAGTTGTTCTTTTACTTCTTTTTGAAACCTTTCTGACATCGTACCACTGACCAGGAAGTGGTGAGGATGGATAATGGTCACTTGTTTATCTTTATAGTCTGTGGCTATTTCTCCGGCCAGTTCTACGCCAACAGCCCCGCCGCCAATTATAACAATGCTCTTGGCCCCACGAATCTGTAATACGGTAAACAATTGAATGACACCACTGACTGTATTATTTCATTAGTAAGTAACCACTGACATCTGACCACTGACAATATTTTTCTACAGATGCCACAAAGAGATTAAAGTTTCTTGACACCTAGGGCCAGAAAATCTCGTTTTACTCGTTTGTAGTAGCGTTTTGTCTGAAACTGTATATCACGAGCATGTCTTTTTCGCGAATTTAGCGAGAGAACTGATAAAACAGATTCGCTAATTCAAGATGTCGCTAATGACTTTATTATCAATTCAAAATGGCCGCCAAACAAAGAAATTAACCATGACAAGGGAGATTCGCTGAATCAACATTTCGCTATTACGCCATTTTACCACAATTCGCTAAAATTGCATGCCGCTTTCTCAACATGTTTTACATTTTTTCCACAATTAATCGACACAAACACGACAATTTCACGTCAGTATGACGTAACATATAACAGTGTTGCATCGATAAGAGACCATGGAGTTATCCCTTAATAGTGGTACAAAATATACCAGTTTTTGGTGGCAAACAATAAGCCATCCGGTCGTAGTGCAGGTGCGGATACAGGATTTTTTTGATGGGGGGGGGGTGTCCAAACTTTAAAATCGCCAGACTAAGTTAATGATTTTTTTATATTATACAAAAACAAATTGAATACATTTTTCAACGGGGGGGGTCCGGACCCCAAGAAATTCCCCCCCCCCCAGATCCGCCACTGCAGTGGGACAAAAATAATTTTCCTTTTTATTGGCGCGAAATACCATCTATTTTAGTGACACCAAATATACTATTGTTTCGATGGCACGAAATATACCAGATACTTTGGCGGTACAAAATATACCATTCTTTTTGGCAGCACACAATATAACATCCTTTTTGGTGGCACAGAATATACCAAACTCTTTCTACTGTGTACTTGTCTGGGCATTTATTCTTACAAGCACCTACGTAAACTAATGAATTTTGAAGTATTAATGACTTTAAATAATTCCCGCCCTCATTACCAATTCAACCAATTCCTCTTCTATAATGTGTTTCATGCTTTCTAGTCGTAGCTAGAAGTTTCCGGATGTTCTTATTGCTTACCTCCTCAACTTGTTTTCTATACAGAAGTAAGGCGTCAGCTGTACTGGTCGTCATCATCAACTTGGCTGGAAACAACCCAACAGAGCCCGTTGCTATGACAAGATGAGTGTAGGTAACGACCTCATCTCCTGCTACCAAGGTTACCGTTTTCGCGTTGGTATCAATAGCTCGCACTACACCATGTTTGAAATTGTCACCAAACATTTCTTTGTATGAAATCAGAGTCTTCTTCGCAAATGCTAGAGAATATTGAGGGAGATTAAATGATGGTCACGTGATAATAAACTATGATGGGCGTTCATGTTACGTAACTATCACGTGACCGAGATTTAACTAAATGTACCACAGCTGTCGCGAATTAGAAAAGTTTCAGCCAATGAAATTGCTGTTGTGAAAACACGTGACTTAATTTGTGAACATACATTCGGAGTTGTCGGTACTTTGATCTCTCAAACCATGCCATGAATTATACTGAATATTTATAATCATTGAGATTCATGCAATGTATTTTTTTTTAAATAATGTGTACAAATACACTACTACTAACAAGTGAACTTACATGCTTCAACAGACGCCCTCAACGCTCCTGTATTGATATGCATAGCTTCTTTTCCGTCAATCAGCGTAAACTTATTACTCTTTTCTTTAAGTTTCATGGCAAACTCGCATCCAGCAAACCCGCCACCTATAATGACGATGTTGTAGCTGTCTGGTAGTTTGGATGAGTTTCCACCCATTTTAACCTGTAAAATATAAAATCAGGGAAGAATGTCTAAACATTAGAGGGTGACGGGCGTCGCGACACGCCATTTTCGATATGGGACCTATGCGAAGTATACAATGAGTATGAAATTCGAACGCATGCTACGTGACGACCGCCCCTTCTTACCTTGGAAATGCACGTAATTATATCATAGTAATAACTTTGGAAAAACATAATAGGAGGTGTGTTTTAAAGGGCGCTGGTCGTCGCGCCGCGCATGTGCAACATTTGTGTTGATAAACAATTTCCCACAATCCATTGCGCTCTTCTAAAGAAATCATGAGTACGAGTTTTGACCTAGGCGCGACTTGCACTAATTACCGCCGATGACTAATTCGATACCTTCCAATCACCAACATAAATGACCCAATGAAAGCTTGGTAACCTCTAAGTTTGTATTCGTTGGTCTGCGCAACAGTCAAAGCCGCCATTTTTGTTTGTATGAGACCCATATCCCATGCGTCGCGCGACGACCACCGCCCTTTAAGATCGGTTTGTACGGTCAGATTAATCGTACAAGACACATATTATCGAATATCAGACGAGCACAATCAGGTAGAACACGCGACTTCGGAATATACAGCGCCTTCTACGGCGCCATAATCAGTTTGTTTTGATGGCAACAGCATATTTGGCGACTGATGTGAAATGTGCAAAGCGCTAAATCGTATTGGCCTTGATCGCATCCCAACGATAAAAAAAAACTAAGTATACCTCCTAAATATGGTCCTTGCGACTGTATTGCTTATGTCATTGCCAAACCTGACACTTCATCATCGATTTTGATCATGACATTGTCGTAATATAATTTGTTAAAAATTGTTGTTTGTTTACAACATCACAACTCCTACCCTCACATTCCATATAATATATTTCCAGATTAAGATGCCCTTATGTGTTTCGATAAAAGGTCATCGATCAGCACGTTTCCTTCTTTGATCACCTCTACCAGAGTAGCTATTTTCGGCACCTAGATGGTCTGCATAAAGTCACGAGGTAATGGGCGTTGGCTGTCCAGAATCTCGTAATTCGCCTATTTGTGATTTTTAGGAGAAATATACTCAATATGCTCGTTGTCTAGCTACGCAAACTTGAATTTAGAATTGTGTTTGTGCCAACTGACGGCTACATATGTTAATAAATGGCGTAATTAGGGCGAGGTGCACTTTAATGATTCGTTATTCCAAAAATATATTAATACAAAATAAAATGCATAATACACAGATTTTATGTGAACAAATCAATATCTCCCAGATAATGATAATATTTTAAACTTATAAATGATAACACTTAATCCACTCTGTTGATTGGATTATGGCTCAGACCACTAATAAAATTAGTGGTCTGAGATTATGGGAACGTGATTACTGTAAAACCTGTCACGTGTACACAGCAAAATGAGGCGGAATTTATCCCTGGGGTAAAATAGCTTTGCATTCATCTGTATTTTTTAAATGTTCAAATTTGTGTTCCAATATTCATAAACAACAATTCAATAAACTGTGTCGTTGCTCTGGTTATTTTGGAAACATGCGTTTCCCGATATCTCTGAACGCGACATGTCGCGTCACGCTCCCCTAACATATACGAGTTTGTCGACACTCAAAATACATTATAATGTCTTACATATATACCGTTATGCGCTTACCTTGACTGAATGTTGTCCTGTGGTCCTGTATAAATTTATATCCAAATATCTGGATGGAGCTTCTCAGACTTCTACGTTGAACTCACAGTGGCGAATTCTTGCCAAGACGATGCGATATTCAAGGCAATAAAACAGCAAAGATCCCAACCAAATCTTCCTCAAATAATGTAGTCTATGTCGGACGGAGATACGTCAGTAGGATCTCTACGGTGGTATGTATTCTCGTGTGCATGGGCAATGGCAGTCAGCGACGACGACGGTATACAGAGACTAGTGATGCACAGCAAAACATATGTAAATATAGTCACACTATGGCTATAACCCGTATATCAGCTATACGAAGAGTAAAAATAACTTGGTACACCCTAATGGCGATGAATATATAATAAATAGATCGACCGGGTAGAATGGTTTCATAGTGCCCAGCACTTGCCCAGCCTTGTCATATGCACTGACGATAGTGATCATTCAGTTTGGTCGTGATCTCCAATAATACCAAAATTATTAGATACGTTCGGCAAGATCAAAATAAATTTTTAATTGCAAATTAATCATTTTGGCAATGGCATTTAGTTGTATGTGAGTTAGTAATTAAATTTACGCCACGAAGGTGATAAATTATCTTTAATTATGGTCTCTTTGGTTTTGAAAACAGGCTAACGCATACAACTTCAACATTTGTAGAAGGTGTGAATAAAATATAATATAATCTTGTAACAATATAACCTCACACTTAAGAATTGTTGATAGTGTTGTGATGCTATGACCTCTACCTTTTATGTAATTGCCGTCAATATTTTAGAATAAAATTACCAAATCATATCATTACTGGCGGTATTTTTTGGGATTCTTGTTCTTAGAACCATTAATCAATTGAAAATTCGGTGTCCGTACGCACCAGAACTGGGCGACTCATAAGGTGGCCAGGAAAACTGTTATTGGTAGTATTGAACTTGAAGGTGGCTTAAAAATGCCAGATATATTTGCTTTTTATGATGTTCAACGCATCAATTGGCTTAGACGGTATTTTAATCATGATATTCACCATCCTTGGAAATGGTTTCTCAAAGTAAACTTGAAAAAATTGGTGGTATTAAAATGCTACTTAAATGCATTTTTTGTCTGAAATCACTGCTATCCTGGCTATCAGTGACTAACCATAAATTGGAGGATCACTTGCAAGCAAGGGTGTTTCACAGAGTGTTTATCAAAGTGGTTTCAGCATTACTGTAAAGGGGGTAATTATTCACTGGGTTTTAATTTAGCTTATTTCACTGACTGGAAAATGCGCTAAATTAAAACCCAGTGAATATGTAAAATTTAGCATAGAACTATCATGATTTATATTTCAGTCAGTTTGACAGTGGTTGTCATGACATATACTGATAAAGGTTAATGACAAGACCAGATGGCGAGCTGGTCGAAATCAACCAAAAACATCTTATGACTCTGCAGTTTTTAAGATACAAGACAGTAGCTGTAATTCTAAACCAATGTTGTTTGCGAGTTTAAAAAAGGTAGTATCTTGGTGGAATGTTAGTGCGAGATTATTACCCCATCAATATTAGTTAGTGTTGACAATGTATAGAAATGTTTTCTCTAGACAGCTTGACGAGTAATTAATTGATTATGATGTGTAAAACTTTCATGTGATTGGTTGTTTGTTGGAAGGCAAGGCCTTGGAGTCTCTTATACTGATTGTAATTGGTTAAGGAGTGACAAGAAATAAAGAGTGATTTAATGCTGTCTCGAGTGAAAACGAGGGACTTGGCAGAGAATCGTTTTGGGGAACATGAACGAAGCTTGTGTGTGTCTTTTGTCAGCCTAGCGTGGAAACGACCGAATCCCGGTTACCTAAGTGAAAGGTTTTTAACCATCAAAAATACCTATCACACGTGGTGGATAACCCTTGGGCATTGTGTTCAACACAAAAATCATCCTGTGAAGAAAAGTGAAATGACGAAAAGGTGTCTTTCTTGTGAACCGAACT